AGCCTGACAGCGCTGGCGGTGACAGGAAAGGAGGGGAGAGGGGAGCTGCTGAGGGCAGCGGGCTGGGTGCCGAGAGCGTACCTTTGCTGGGCGCGGGGCTCCTGTGTCCACCACAGACTCTCCCTGCCCTCGCTGCCTTGAGAAGTCACAGAACGCATGGGGTGTGCTTGGTTCTTTTTATTTAGGGCTTGTAACAAGAGGGTTTAGTACACAGCAACAGTTAATTCCAAGTACAATTAAAAAAATTTAAAAATTGGGTTTTGCACTCACTGGAAGGTGGTTCAAATGGCACACACAACAAAACGTTACTGGCGGCATACAGCTCCCCAGAGTCCTGTGGGCTGGGTCATTGACAGCGGGCTCTGCGCTCCTCCACTGCCTCAGCAGTGCCAAAAGCAAAAGCACGATGTGCTTCTCCAACTGCAAACCAGAGGGGGTGGGGGGGATCTGCTTTCAGAAAAAAGTGCATGGACAAAATCCATGGCAAACACTGACATTTCCAGAGAATTCATAGAAACTACTTGTCCATGCAAGTTGCAAAAGACACTTTTTCAAATGTGAAAAGAAGCACTTGTTCTTTACCAAAAAAATCTCAGACGCGTCAGCACTTGAGCAAGGCGCTGTAATGGAAATGAGTGTGTACACAGCTCTTCCTCACTAGTCAGCAGTGGTAGGACTCTCCTGAGGTTGTCGGAGAAAGAGGAACAAAGGTACTGCACACCTTTCAGCAGGGTCACCACGTCGGCGGTCAGCAGGATGCTGCGTGTAGGTTACCTCTGGGCAACAGGCTGCTGCTGACTGTACTGTTTTGTAATACATCTTGTAGTAAGCAAAGGGGTAGGAAAATTAATAATGTTTAGAGTACCAAGGAAAGTAACACTTCCTGCAGGGGCAGGAGATTGCACGAGACACATGGGTGTGAAAGCAGAACACCATGGTCTATGAATTACTCTTTGTAACCGCAGTAGGCAAACCTTGACTGCATCAAGCTTTCAGCAGCCTCCCATGGACGTGAGGTGGGGCTCCCACTGTTCTTGCAGCTTCAAAAGCAAAAATAGATAAATAGGATTGTTCCTACACACTGACTTCAGCCACCGTGGGGGAGAAAAAGCCAACCAACCATAAACTTCCCTTCTTGCTCCATTCTGACTGCTCCGTAATACCAGTTTATCGACAGAATGTGGCAGTGCCCAATACTGAGAGATGCCAAAAGGTGGGGAAGGTGGTGCCCCATAAGCTGTAGCCCATCATCTGCCCACTAGTGCTCAGCTGACACCACCGTGTTCTCTAGAGCTTAGGGTTGCAAACACTTGCCTTAGGAGTGCAGCAGCGCTGTAGGTTTCTCACTCCCACTGCTGTCGGCATAGGAACCGAAGGGCATGAGGTTTGTAACGCTCGCTGAACCACTGCAGCGCTCAGTCCATGACTACACTGAAGCAGTAGGCACAGCACCACGGCCTTTCCAACAGCCCCTCTAGCGACACCCAGCAGGTTGCCCTGCAGAGAACAGACTCTGCCTGTTTCACAGAATGGCCTGTCCCACCTGTAGGACGAGAAGACCCACAAATGCTCCCAGTTTACTAACCCGTGTAAAGTCCCATCCTTTCCAGAAAGGAAACCACGCGAGTTTTGCTTCTGACCTAGGCCTGAAGCCGAGAGACATACCTTATGAAGAGAGCTTATTTCCAGCAGAGTCATATCTGCAGCACTTACCAGGAAGTGGTGGAAGTTGCTGGGAAGAGCACAGTGTTAGGGCAAGTGGGAGGCACCACAGAAGCACGACAGTTTGCATCAGCGCACAACCTTCCTCCTCCTCCAGTCTACGATACGCACGTACACCCAGGCAGGCAGCCTGCCCTCCGCCAGAGAAGGAGCATCAGTCCTGCTCTGCCTCGCTTTCTTTTCATGAGCAACTGAAGCACCCTAGCTAAAAGTGCCACTTTTCAGAAGCTGCATCACTGCCAGCGTCAGCTCTGGCTGTCACCAAGATCCCTCAGCAGCGAAGACAGACAATGCCCAGGAGCTGTGAGGGGAGCACAGGCTTCTCTAGCGAGAACTGGGGAAGTGTGGGTCAAACCAACAGCAGTCTCCAGCCCCTTTCAGGACACCCAACTCAACCTGTTCCTGTTTTCAGTAACTGCAAGGACAAGCGGAGTCTCTGCTGGCCCAGGAATGCGGTCAGCCTCCTGGCAACACACACCAAGCTCTGCCATCTGCTCCTGGGGCCATGACACACTCCTCCCCATCTTCCAGCGACCGCACCAGCTCCTTAGCGCATCACTGGCTGCCTGTGTCTCACCAGTCAGGCCAGCAAGGCAGTGCTCCAGCTCTCTAGTGCCTTGCAGGCGGTGCAAGAGAAGGAAGAAATCTCCGATAGAGCAAGCCAAAGCAAAATACACCGCTAGAGGATGCTGACCGATTTCTGTGCAGAGTGAAAACATCCTGCTGGGCCGAGGCAGTGCTCACCAAGGGAGAAACACACCATATGCCACTCCCGGCTGTTCTGAAGAGTCTCCTTCCCCATGGCTCTGATGCTCTCTCACACTGCTGATTCAGCAGCCTGCGATGCTGACCACCACCCGCTGTGGCAGCACAACTTGGTGAAGAGGCCTATTTGAAACACTGAGGTGTTGCTCTCACCCCTCCGTTCTCCACCCCCTTTCAAAGAAAACATGTAAATTAAAAAGGGGCAGGGGAAGAAGGGTGTGGAGAAGCAGAACTACAAGGGACAAAACTAGAAACACACCCCTCACGGAGTTCGCTAGCATGCAGTCTATGTAACATCAATACACACAGCCTGTTTACCTTGGCCTGGTCTATGACCATCACATCATCCCCAAAGAAGCCACAGAATAAAAATCTGTACCAAATAAAAAATATGCATAAAACTCAACAGATTTCTTTACATTAGTACTGCATAATAAAGCATAAGACCAGCAGGAGGTGACCCAAAAATTCCATCCACAGCAGCTCTTGCAGGATAAACAATTCCACATGCTATGAGCAGGGACCAAACTAAGCCCTGGCCTGTCACACCAAAGCCAGTTCTTTAAGGAGCTTCACACATTCCACTGAAGGTTCTGCAGCCTCATCTGAGCACTCCCCAGAGCTCACACTGCTCTGCTCCTGCAACACAGAACACGCACAAGATGAACACAGAGCGGAGGTTAAAGACAGGGTGTGTCACCCAGAGGAAGTACACACTGTCACCACCCGCCCGTCAGAGGTGTTCAGGCACATGCTGTTACGCAGCAGAGTTACAGTCACCGGTGTGTGAGCCCCTGGCTGGAGCATGGGCACACAGGGCGAAGTTCAGCGCTCCTTCAGCAACTCACTGTGTGCGCAGTCTTTGCCACAAACACAGCCGGGGCAAGAGAAACCAGGGCAGCTCTGGTAGTCCTGGAAAACCAACCACCCTGTGAGCACCAAAAGCTTGTGCAATGCTGCTGCGCCGCTACGCTAGCTGGGCTGCAAGCAGGAAGAGCAGCCTCGCCCTGTGACGCTAGGAACGGTCACTCCAGTGACGGCACAACCCGGGTTTCTAGGTCTTGCTGCGAGATACGCCTTCACAGCAGAAGGGTATCTGTTCCAGCTAACACATCCCAAACAACAATGCATCAGCTTCCAGAACAAAAGTGTCTCGGCTACACGGCTGCAGACTGAGCAGAGGAGAAAGTAACTTTATCTACACACCAGCTTCTTCAAAACTGAACCTCCTGTAGGCTTCAACCAAACTAGCAGTGACGCCTTTGACAGGCTGCTGGTGGTACCAGCTGGACTTGGCCAGGTGACAGCCAAAAGCTGACCGGGAAGCTGCCCTGGCCAGGTGTTCTCTCCATACAGGGCTCAGCTCAACTCGCAGGCTAACAGGACTGTAACAGGAGGTTTAATCCGGTCACTGCCGGTGCGTAACATTTACCCAGAGGTAACGCCTAGGTAACAGCCTAGTGCAGCCACCACTTCACACTGATCTGCCGGGCAGATCGTGGAGCAGCACCTGTAACAGACTAGATGAAAAGCAAACTATCAACGAGCCTTCGCTTGGTATTACTCCACCCCAGATCCACCGGTACAGCTCAAAATACCTACTTTATCCTAAACAACAGAGAGGGCTGGGGGAAGAGCTAGGACTACTACTAGTTACTGCTTGGATTTCCATGGGAAACCAGTACACACAACAGCCCTTTTTACTCCCACTGAAGAGATTTTGGCAACAGACATGAAGACGACAATTGCCGTTTGTCCTGCCTCTGCACAGGGCTCTCACAGTACGTATGCAAATCTAGTCATCAAGTACAAAATAGCCAATTTACAATACCTGATTGGATTTGTAAGGTTATATTGTGCATAAGACTAAAGTTGGGGGTAAGTTTCTCTAGTGCAAGCAGGCGTGAGCAGATCTGAGCCGTAGATCACAGCCCCTGGACTTTATCCTCAGACCCCAGGAGGACCTGTAAACTTTATTTCGTCTTCACCGTCCACGTGAGTTCTGTTGAAACCAGCAGCACCCACGGCAAGCAGCTTGCTGCGGAGAGGAGCACATTTACATCAGTGCAGAACACAAAACAAATCTGTGGCATTCAAAAGATGAGGAAATAGGGGTGAGGGTCCTCTGGGCTGCAGCTGTCTTAGTTGTGTGAACTGAAAGGTGAGTGAATGAGAGCAGTGCTGTGTGCCCCTGGGTCAGCCTACATGTGCAGAGCAGCTGCAGCAGTGTTCATGCTAAAGATGTACCCGACTCTCTGAAGTCGGTTACAGGAACGGCTCTGTGTAGAAATCCCAGCGTTCGCTAGCACACGGCTGTTCTTCCAGCTGCACAGGAGCGTAGTGTAGAAACGGGAGGGATGGCCACTGGCCAGCGACCCTTCACTGCAAGCATCCAGGACGTCCAAGCGCCAGGCACTGCTGCCAAGGGTAGTACCGCGAGGGCACACGGGATTCCTGAGGCAGATCCCAAAGCCGGTCAGAAGAAGTCGGAATTCGAGCGAAGTATCAGCTGCACGAGTTTGTCACATCTGAATGGGTCGTCTTCGTTCAATGTCAGATGGCTCAGGATAGCCTCCGCTGGCAGCCGGAAAAGCCATTTGCTCAAACAACTCAAATCACTATTGTTTGATAACGATGGGGGGGAGGGGGGGAAAACGAGTGGTTGTTACAATTATCCTTCATTCAGTTATACTGGATGGGGCCCCAGAGGCTGGTGGAGATCTGGGAAGCCCTGGCAGCTCCTGCAGCAGGAGATGCAGTGTTCTGTCCTCTAGTCGTCACTCTGAGTAATGCATGATCGACTCCACGTAGTTCCCTGGGAAAAGCCCCGTCACTCCATTCATGACCCCCTCATACCAGCCGTCATCGTTCTTCTTGATGACATAAATGATGGCACCTTCCTGAAACGAGAGCTCATCTTCTTTGTCCTTCGTGTAGTCATAGATGGCCACCACTAGGAAAGAACAGAGCGTGACTGTAGGAGAGGTGCAGAGAGGAGGGGGAAATCAGCCTACCTGTACTCCAGGTCAAGGCAGCCTTGGAGAACAGCGCTGCCTCACCTCCGGCGGTGCGCAGGGGCCTGCTGAGAGGGGCAGTTTCTCTCCACCCTTTGTATAAGGGCTCATGCTTTGACACACCTGAGCCAGGACTACTTTAACTCTTCCCATCTCACTAATTCCAGACCCTCCAGAGGAAAAATTCACAAATACACACTTCTGGTGTGGAATGACACATGGAGGTGGATGTAACTCCCCAGTTATGACCACTCGGACCTAATCCGAGACACATGTGCAAAACCTGATCTCTGCACGACTAACAGCAGGAAAACACGGAAGGGGAGAATACGGCAGCTCACTTCTTCAGATCAGAGTAAGAATGAGCCAAGGCTAACGCCCCAGACTTCCTTCTACCCTAGCTGCCTCCACATGTACATCTGTAACATGGGTCACGGGCAGTCCCAACAGCTAGAAGTCACACCCAGGGTACACAGTGCCAGGGTGGGTGAATCCCAGTTGGGAGCTAGGAAGCAGTAAGGTGGTTCTCTGAAACAAAATGTACACCTACTGCATCGGGACATTGTTCTAACAGCTGCAGGATATTTTACCAAAGGCATGAAAGCTGTCAGCAAAGTCAAAGAAATTGGACAAGCACTGGCAAATATTAAAGAGAGCGTTGTCCTACAATGGCAGAGAACAGACATCAGCTGATACATTTTTCCAGTCTCAGTCCTATCATTATGTGTTCCCTACAGAAAATCAGCTGTGCTGGACTCTGAATAGTTTAACAAATATCATCAGACCCTGCTTTGCGCACTTGGCAATGGAACACGCAGTGCTGCCACTGAAACAAAACGGATGTTGGACAGGGATCCTACAATCCTGAACTGGGGATAGAAGGGAATATACTCTAAACCGAAGGAAGGAGAAAAAAGTTAACAGCATGTGTTCATGAGCACAGAGTCCAAGAGTCCTACTAAACTCATCGTTCTTTCCGAAAGAAAAGCCATCATTTCCTTTTGAGGGAGCAAAGGAATCTATACAAATATTTACTAGGGAAATCTGGATCCTGATATAAAGTAAAATACACAGACTAATCCCAGTGGAGAATCAGAGAAGGTAGATATTTTTTTGAAAATAAAGCTCCCAGACAGGAGATTTGTATCATCTGACTAGAGCATACTTAACAAACACGTGTTCTGGCTCTACGCTTCCACCAGCACAGTTAAATAACTCATTCCAACTAGTTTCAGACATACCATTCTAGGGAAGCAAAACACAAATGGAGAAATGAGTCAGTTTTTAGCCTGAAAAACAGAAGTCATTATATGAACACGATACGTCCACTTAAAGTCCTTCAAAATTCCTTTTTAACTGCCCTCTGTAGCTGTTCACTTACAAACACTGCTTCCTAGATTCACCGTCCTGCTGTTGTTCACCATCATCATCATCATAATACAGGGATCACGGAAACTTGCAATTCCTTTCTTTCTCCTTTCTGAGTGTACTTCAGTCCCTTCTGATACTGAATGGGTTCACAGTGTCATGATCACAAGCAGGAAACTCTTCCCTAAGTCTGTGATGAAAATTTGCTTCTTGTTAATCCTATTATTACCTGAAGCCTGGTTTTGTTTCTACATCACCACTGCTTCCTCCTGCGCGTTACTTTTGTACCAGCAACGTTCCTCTCTCTAAACGACTGTTTAATGCTTCTGTCTGTAGTCCCACCACTTCAAGCTGTGAGCTTGTCACATACCAGGCGTTACCAGGAGCTACCAGGAGCCCAGGCCAGCACTGTAAAAAAGGCTCCAGAGGAGGGCGGAAGCAGCAACACTGACTCAGCTCAGGAGGTGGCATTCTTCCCTGCGAGGCTGAGCCAGGGCCGCTCTCGGTTTCTCTCTGGACACATTTCAACGCAGATATGAAAAACAATTACTCACTTAGGCTGATATTCCTCCAGCCAGTGACCTTTGGTTCTTCAACAATTACACAGAGTTGGGCTGAACCCTCTTACATCAAGCTGACCACAAATGTAGGCCAGGCAGGTTATCCAACTGCAACCTGAGCACTGTGACCACACACTTTCTCTGTGTGGTATAAGGACAGTTTTTCCTCTGGATACCCATTTCTGTTAATCTGATTTGCAGAGTTGGGACATTGTTTTTTCACGCCATGCAGCCAGGCGCACAGCTCAGTGGAAAACTGCAGCGTGCTTTCCTGGACACTGCTGGTTGGCTGCTGCTACTACAGCCACGTGGTACCGTCCTTAAACTCAACGTCCCCACTAACTGTACCCAACCTAAGAGCTTCTCCGTCTGTCCAAAATGGATCTGCTGTTCTCCTCCTCCTCAGCTGTACAGTGGCACGTACATTAATGCTACGCACACCTCCCACAGCGTGTGCATGACCCCTTCACAGAGCAGGGTCCTACTGGATCCCATCTCGATGTACAGCAACCCTCTGTACTTGACACCTCCTTCCGTCAGTTTTGTCCATTTTATACAAGTTCGATTATTGGGATTCAGAACTCACCTTGCAGCAGTCTGCTAAGTAGATTACAGAGGATTAAACTATGTAATTAGCCAGCTAATCATTATCTTCCCTTTGTGGCGAAAGGGGTGAGAGGGTCCTACTCAGACGAGAAGCTTAACTTCTGTTGTTTAAGTTGCCATTTGCAGGAGCACCTCTGTCTACCGCAGTGTCCCGTACTGGCTACGGAGGAGGCTCGGCAGACTCCGTGTCTGAAGTGGGATAGCAGGAGCTTACACAAAATGTTGTTACAAACACAACTCCACCACCTCTATTAGCTCCAAACCTACCCTTTTCCAAGTAGGTCCTTGGTGCCCAGGGAGGGTCCTCCTCAGCATAGGGATCGCTGTACTCCACCACAGCTGCTTCCTCCTCCTCATAATCCTCTGGAGGTGGGGGTGGAGGTGGAGACTCATCGAACACTGGCTCATCCACAGGCGGTGGGGGGGGAGGAGTATCTGAAACTGAAAATAAGCAACAGTACAACCATGAACCACGGCAGCAGGTTGAAGTAATACTCCCTCTCCCGATAGGTGCACTGGGAGCAGTCGTTAGAACACATGGAACCACACTAGAGATAGTAACATTCAGAGAAGGAAAGATCAGGTTCCTCCAGTAACATTATTTCCTTTTCCCTCCCTTCACAGTTTCAGACAAACTCAGAGGCAGTAAAGGCGGCAGAATTCTGGCTATATACAGGAAAATCATCTGCTCAAAACAAAAGCCACATCCAGTAAAAAAATCGTAGCACAAGGAAGCAGCAAACTTACTGTTTTCTTGAACTCTGGCCACAAATCCCATTAGCGGTAACTGTGGAGTTACCTGTAGGATGGAGGGGGGAGGAGGAGCAAGGGATGCTGCCACAGAAATTAAAAGAGAGAGGCATTCAGTTAGAAACACAACAAAGCTGCAAACAGGAAAGTAGACATCATCACCACTCAGACAGTGTAGCAGTCTGCCAAGAACCTGAGCTAAAAAGGCTGATACTCAAAGAAAAATGGCTCAGGTGGCTTAAGCATATTCCCACTCCTTATTGCAAGATTCCTCTGGTTTCAAACTTCCAACCCAGCTCTGATCTGACCATGAGATTCCCTTCAGTTTATGCTACAGCAGTACAGCACTTTATGACCAGACCTAACTAACTACTATATCAAGAGGACTGTCTCCCTATAATCCTTCACATTTCAGATCAAGTAGGTATTTGTAGAGGTGACTTCTGTTAACAGCATCCACGAATCCTTAGTCATGAAAACAGATATAACTAGTCTTCTCCAAGGCACAGGCAAAAAAGCCATCAAATGAGGCAGTTATTTTAGGCAAAGCAGAAAAAGATGCCTTTGAGAACTGACAGGACTACCTTAGCGTAGAACAAAGCACAGGGCGCTGCTGCCAAACAACAGGGCCTATTGCAGGTGTGCTGCCTCATCTCCTTCCTGCCTGATTTCGCAGGGCTCTGCACTGGGCTCCGAACAGCCCTTTCACTGGTACCAGAAGAGCTGCCTCTGTGCAGTACAGGTGAGGTCACATTCAGAGAGTACACTGTCAGCCAGCTGCAAACGCTGGAACACTCAGCTGTGGTTTAAGCCAGGAATGAAAGTTTCAGTTACCTAGTAAAGTTAAAAAATAGTTAACTGGTTTTATGTAGTTTTAGTGTCACTTTGCAAGAGTAAGGCAGTAATATTCTTTAGGCAAGTTACAAGATGATTTTTCAAAAAGCACACCTCAAGAAAAGCACAACTGAATAATTTTGTTAGTAGTGGCATACAAAAACATTTAGTCATGTCCAAAAGAATGATGGAAAGAAGTCATGTACCAGTACTTTTATTTAGCGTGCAGAACAGCACTAAATAAATTCCAGACTAATTCCAGAGCCGGTAAGAAAACTGCCAGGTACGATGTATTTTTCAGAATTAATTCGCATCATCACAGCAAATGAAAAGAACTCCAGGGTATTTAAATGCATGTCTCACAATTTCTGCTGTTGGCTTATTTCAGTAGCTATTCTCTGAAGTGCTCAGAATGAAGTGCCACTCTCATTCACATTCCTTTCACAACCACACACCCCAAACAAAAAAACCAGACCAACCATCCTTTTTGTTGCAAAGACATTCTTGTACCTCCTTATAAAGCAAGCTGTTACCTCACCACTGATTTGATATTTCTTGAGAAAAACTGAAATACATTTCTAACTACAGCTTCCTTGACTTTAATGATGTGACCTCTGACAGTATCTATCCCATCGAGTGTAACCACAGTAGCTGGGAAAAGATTTGGTCTTGCAATTTTTCAAAGCAGGAAAAGAGAACTGGAATTTGAAGTCCTACTGAAAAGCAGTAATATCCAGGAATTCAGCATTCTTGTCCAACGATGAAGTCCCTGCCTTTTTAACTATATATGCTATAAAAATGGTCAGTTTCAAAGGTTTCCTCTATTCACTGTCATGTGGATTCATCCAATTCAGATCTATCATATGAGACTAGCTTCGGTTTCCTAAGTCCCTTCAGCGTACTTTGTTGGTGTGCCATGTGTGTTTCATAGAATCATGGAACGGTTTGGGTTGGAAGGGACCTTAAAGACCATTCAGATCCAACCCCCCTGCCATGGGCAGGGACACCTTCCACTAGACCAGGTTGCTCCAAGCCTCATCCAGCCTGGCCTTGAACACTTCCAGGGATGGGGCATCCACAGCTTCTCTGGGCAACCTGTGCCAGTGCCTCACCACCCTCTCTGTGAAGAACTTCTTCCTGACATCTAATCTAAACCTCCCCGCTTTCAATTTAAACTCGTTACCCCTTGTCCTGTCAGTACAGGCCCTTGTAAAAAGTCACCCCCAGCTTCCTTGTAGGCCCCAAGGAATTATTTCTTTGAAAGAAATAACAAGGCTTTCCATACAGAAAAATAGATCCCTGTAGACAAGTACTCCAAGCAAATACAAAAATCCCTTAGTTTAGTTTGAGTTGTGTAGCCTAATCAAAACGGTGATGCTAACACTAGCTGGCATCAATCCTTGTTATCTTCACCACTTGGTTTGTGCTTCAGCCCACGCACAGTGCAGGGACTACCAAACGACCCTGTCTCTACGTGATTTATAATGGCTCTAAGCCAGTTTTGACCTTTAGGAGACAATACAATAACTCTTTTACTAATAATGACTTTGTTTATAAAGCGCATCCAAAGAACTTTGCTGCACCTCTGCTGTCTCAAAAGATACGAATAACACCAGCTGACACGTTCCCTCCCAGCTCCCTTCCATATGGACCATTCGTGGATGAAGGGTCCACCTACACAGTCGCTGTCAATCCAGGAATGCTCAGGAGCACCTTCCAGGAGGTTGCTTCAGCCTGGTAAGAACTCGGCTGTACAACCCAAGAGGGTCTCGTGCAGACCCCGTCTCAGTACCTGCCCGGTTTCTCCCACAGGGTTGTCAGCCTGTGCAGAGTCCTGTACTGCCGAGATACTGGTACTGAAGCTGCACAGTTAAAACGCTCGTTAGGTGGCATGGCCGGTGGCTTTGGGACAGAGGTATGCTGACATCATTTAGGGTGCATTTCTTCATGTTTTCTTTGCAGTTGTTAAAAAGGTCTCACCATGAATTAGATTATATGGTCTTAGAAGTGACATTCAGAAGAACAGGGCAAAGCAACTATCTTTCATCCTCCTGGGAAGCGAGTAAACAAAAATGACCATGCCCACATACTAAAAAATGGAAGTGAAAAACCCAGTGCTGCTTTACTGCCAGGCAGCCTGCAAAGAACAAGCCATAGCTGGCACACTCCTCTGCCTGTTGTAAGGTCTCTTTTTCACCTCTCGAGTTTTCTCCATCTGCAACCATGGCCCCTGTCCTGTCAGCACTAACCCTGCTCCTTACAACAGTCCCTCTGTTCTTACGGTCTTCATCAATCACGCACGCTTGAGCATCCTCGTCTTTCAAGGCACAGGCCAAAAACACTTGGTTTAGTGTAACTGCAAAGCTAATAAATTGTGTATTCTGCTAGGTATATTAAAAAAAGTCTCTTACTATGACTGCTTATTTGTGTTCTAGCAAGTATGCCAGGATAATTCCAGGATTTTGTTTGTGATTTACAGCTCACGTGACTAATCACCATAATCATTATCTTCTTTTTGGGTACACAGACTGAACTGCGGTTACGTAACTTATTTAAAGCCTATTTGGCATCTTCTGTGATTACCTCTTACCAATGTGATGGTAGCTTGCAGAAAGTTATCCCTCTGCTAAAGCAGAAAGACATAGCAGTTGTCAGAAACTCTCTGCATATACCGAAAATCCTCTTTATTGCAAAGGCAATCCTGAAAGGTTTCTTGTGTTGCTATTACCCTTTCCTTCTTGCCTGTTTCCCTTCAGCCTTCAACACGCACAGAAGTGCCTAACAGATACCAAGCATTCCAGGCAACTGGGCTTCAACTTGGTCATATAAACTCCTCCAGCCCCTGTCGCCAGCAGGACCATCCACTTCCTTTTCAAGTCAAGCACACATCTCTGCAGTGTGTGTATCACCAGCAGTAATACTGAACTTGATCAAGTCCCTTAAATGCAGATTGCAACATCTGACCTAATGCCAAGTTCAGTACTCAGTTTTAAAAAAAAAAAAACCAAACACCAAAACCCACCACCACGACAACAGAACACAAATGCACTGTCGGGTTTGCAATTCAACATTTGATCTTGCTGGTAGTAGGACATTTCCAACCAAGGAACCTTCACTATGTCTCCTGCATCCTTCTGCAGCTTTGTCAAAAAAAAAGAGAGCCTCCCCTACTCCAGTATCAAAACCTTCACATCGCGTCAGAAGCACAGGGCAAAGGGCTCCTTGGGTGAAAAGCTGCTGTGTTCTGCCTGACGCGCGCGACACGCCATGTCAGTATCTCATCCTGCCTTTCAGGACAGGTTGCCCGTTACAGTATCAGCACCTGTGGACTTAGCAGATGAGAACTCCCGTGCACTCCATACCAACCACCCACGGCTCTAAGGTGCCCAACGCTTACCCTTGTGTAACAAGGGCAATTTCTTGAACCGTCCATTAATCATAAGGAAAAAGCATACAAGACAGACTGATTAATGAAGAATCGATGTTCTGGTGCAAAATCAAATACCTACCCCACACCAAAGCAGACACACGACACATGGGGTAGTGAAGGAACAGAGCTTGTCTCATAGGGGCTATGAGATCAAAAGTAATTTATTTGGGAACAAAGCCAGTACCGTTTCCAGCTGCTTGCCATGATGCAAGCTGACCGCCCTGTTCTTGGACTGCAGATCTGGCACGGCTACCAGCAACACGCTGGAAGTTACCTGACACTAACTGCAAGAGCCACAATGGAGACAGAAGGCAAGACTTCAGAGATCTGAAGGCCACTCCATTCAGCCCTGTGCTGAACCCCACACTGCAGACCAACGGCCTCACCTGGGTTCTGGTTATAAAAGGGTCCTCCATTCATCTGGTTCTGAAGGCTTGTCTGTGACGTGATCGACGGAGGGCGCCGATATGGCAGAGATCCCCCTATTGTTGGGGGGGTGTGTCGAGATGCAGGCCTGTTCATGCTGTAGAACTGAACGGGGTGACCTAGGTTAGAAAGAGACACGTATCAGCCGAGGGAAGAACGATGCCTGCCTTTCGTACCTGCATTCCAGACTCAAAGGCTTGGAAAGGTTTGGCTGGTTGTTTTTTTGAGACAGTCGGCATCCTAGGAGCCGTCAGCCAGGTCAGCTGCCAGACTGGCAGGACACTGGATGGCTCAGTAGCAACACCAGAACTAACTCTCCCAACTGCCCGTACCCAGCACTGCTCACAAAAGCCAGTGTGAAAGTACGAAGTTGTCTGAGCGACAGTTTCAAAACGAAAGTAATCCCCAGTTATCCATTCTACAGAATGCATTATAAAAACTTCTTGCAAATTTAGTTATTGATAAACCTGCAAAACACTAACACTTCACAGCTCAGCAGTTAAGCAACGTACACGTACAAACTAACTGCATGCCATTTCCAAGATTCCAAGCTGTGACCTTCTGTGCTGAACAGCACTGTACTAACAATCTTCAGGCATTGGAACAATTGAAACAACTCCTTAAGAATTTGCTCTCGTTTTAGTCACTTCCTGCAGGAGAGTAATTGATCCTTACTCTAAGCAAGCAATAAATGAAGCAAGACCACTAAGCTGTATTCTGTGCTCACGTAAAGTTCTCTGGCTTACCTACTGTATGTGACAGTAAGGTGGGTTTGTTACACCCATATGGGTTATTGCCCTCAACTATTCTGCCTCCACCGTTTGCGCTAGAGGTACATTTCAGAGCCTGCAAGGAACCAAGGGGCTGGTCACTGCGGTTGAGGGGACATGCACACAGGGAAGTAAATGGGGAATTTACTAATTATGCATTTCCTAATGCGTCTTTCCAGTGTGTCTGCCTCCCTGTTACTTAACGCGCTGGTAGAAATCGGTGGTGATTGGAGAGAAGGAAGAGAAACAGGGATAAGAGATCCTTAAGGATCATTAAGGACCAGAAGCTACATAAATGGTAAGCTACCCAAGTCTTCCAAATGCTTTACTTCAGAGAAGCCGTAACAGCAGCCTCAGTAATAGCACAGGGAAACAAAAGGTCTTAAAAATAGCATGTAGCCTGAAATTTCTCTTACTGAACTGTGAGTGTGAATTTATAGCCATTGAAATACTAACCTCTGCTTGACTTTGACTTGTCAAAAATACAGAAGCAATGTGGGTAAGAACTGGGATACTGACAGTGCATCAAAAATGGAAATCTGACTGAGGCCCCGTATGACACAGCCCATCTGAGCACGGAAGAAGTTCAGACATCTGCATCATCATCAGGTTCCAAAATTCATCACAGTTTGCAGCTTCTAGTCACAGTCATGGATTTTAGTGCAAGCTATTTTCTCATTTTATATGAATCACAGCATCTTAAACTGAATACAATGTCAAGAACGCTTCTGGCACCTAGTGGAATTCTTCCTGAGAGAGACTGACATTGATAAACACGCAGACCCACGCGCACCATGGTGATCAGGCTCCACTATAACCAACAGAAACAAAGCACGTAGGTCGCTGCGTATGATTTGGCTGTCTAAAGGAGATCTTCACAGTGCGGGTGTAACTCCTCATCAAAAGCTGATACCAGCAAGCACTGTGTGCTGCAACTTCAGCCCATGAGAAAGTGAGTAACGTAGGGTGATTTCCATAAGCATTAAAAAAAGCAAGTCACAATATACATCATGAAGTCCCACCTACTAAACCAACATACTTCAGTACTATGCTGCAGAACAAAAACTTGTATTTTACCTGATGCTGAACACCCAAACTTGCCCTTTTTATCTGTTTATTGAAAGCAGACTTGTCATTTGAAAGCATCGAAGAGACAAGTCACATAAATTGTACTTTGCTAGATGTGCTTTTTTTAATTACACCATTACTGAAAGAGAACAGTCAGACCCAAAGCTACGGTGCTGGTTCCCCCCAGACATGATTATTCTACGAGATTCTCAGTATCTAAACTGCAATGCAGTGATAATGTAATAAATAATTAATAAAGGTGAAAATAACAACATTAAATGATGGCTGTTTGTAAAACTAGCACACCTTGAATTGTCTATTGTAACCATTACCTTACAGTTGGGTACTGTTAGCAGATACTTTCCAGTTAGAGAACCCCAAAAACGTAAAAGTCACTGCTTCTGAGGTAACTGGAAAGCCTTGGGTGGTGATCACATCTGGGCTCATCTGCCTCCGGCTTGAGCAGACACTCACCTGCAGAGGGTGTGGAAGAAACGGCGGGGGGAGTTGGAGAGGTGAAGCCATCAGCAAGGGGCTGAGCTCCTGCAGCAGCAGCAGCAGCATCTGGGGCAGCGGAGGAAGGGGCAGGAGCAGGAGGAGCGGGGGCAGGAGCAGAGGTAGCAGGAAGGGGAGAGGTGCCAGCCGAGCCAGCAGGGGCTAAGGGAAGAGAGGAGGAAGAGGTGGAGTTAATAAGGAGATAGGTTAGCAAGGATTAGAGAAAGCCTTTGACCATTCAGTGTTAGCTACTGATTAGACGCACAGTGTTTTAGAATGCACGAGGAGATGGCAGAAAAATGGAGCTGTTAAAGAAAGGCTCATTCCTATGTAGACGGTAAATGAGGGTCAAGCAAATCCAATTCCTTCCAGGTCTGAAGGGAACCACCCAGAACTTTTCACTGAAAGCCATGACTTTGGAAAGATGTCTTTACACCGTGTTGTTCACGCTCAGATCTGCAGCACGGCTGCTTTTAGTTTTTGTATGAATCAGAAAATACACAGAAGAGGAAAGCCAAAATCTCCAGTTCTTTGGTTCAGAAGCATCATGTATTTCAGATCACACTGCAAGCCAACTCTACACTCCACTGACCGGGCTGAGCAAGGGAAAACGGAGCACTGATATCACCACTTCTTCTGGGAAAGACTGCGGTGATTACAGTGAGCAAGGGTCTTTTTGTGACAGTTAGGTTTGCACCACTGCACCAAAGACGTACTCGGCGCCTGCCTCTCTTCATATCTAAGCTGCTAAAGGCATCGCCCGTGTGTCTGCATGAACAGCCACGAAAAATCACTTATCTGCTTAAAAGGACAAAGGAGACGTTTCCCCCAGCCCACTGACAAAGGTGTTGTCTCCCATCTAGTCACATGCAGGCAACCAGGAAAAAAATTCTGATAAACAAATTAATATATCAAAGCAGCATTAGAGCACACCGGGCACTCCCAGAAAAGGTACTACTTGATTCAAACTCACACTGTCAAGAGCAAGCAATTTTCAAGGCTTGCCTGTTTCTGGGTAATTCAGAGCTGTCCCTTGGGGTGTACTCAGCACTGTGTTCAGGAGACTTGCAAATGCGAAAGGTTAATACTGAGTCAGGAAAAGGGAAAGCAAGTTTTCTCTTACCTGGATAGACGCTGGGAGGAGATGGTGTGGGAACAGCAATAGGAACACCAACACTTCCACTTCCGCTGTTCTCTCGACTGCTGCTCCGACTGCTTGGGTGGCTGCCTCCACTACTCCCACTGCTGCTGTAAGGAACCAGAATAACGCAGGGTGTGAGTATGCTGCGGTGCATGCTGAAACCGCAGCTCTCACACAGCCCCTTCCCAAGGCTGAGAAGTAACAGGGAACAAGAGGAAAGAAACAAGGATGGTTTATACCTATATAAAGCTCAGTCTTCCTAAAAGGCTTCATTTTGACTACAACACAACAGGTCTTTCTGTCAGTCTTAGTGAACTCGTCCTAAAATGAAACGCTTCCGGAACCTTGTTCCAAAGCATTTTGTTCAATACCGTTAAACCCCTGCTGAGGGGATACAGACCTTTCTCCTATGATTTAGAAAACGGGTAGACTGTTTCGACTCCGATTTATATGCTTTGATATGAGACTGCTGAAATCTGGAAATTACAGGATAGTAAACTAAAAGTCAAATTTTCTTATACTTTAAGCCCATCTGTTTGGCCATCCTCAAGCACTTCCAGTGTTTAAAAAAGACTTCACGGGTAATATTTAGACCAGTCAAATCATGAACATGTTACTGTCCTAGAGAACAGGTGGGGGTCTTTGTACTGCCTTTGGTAATACGGTTCAGCTTTATTCTGCATTTGATGTTACCAGTATCCTAAAAATACAATGCTCTTTTTTCAGCTACTCAGTCTGTAAACACCAAAGACTGTTCACACAGAAAAGTGAACTATGGGCATCCTATGCAGCCCTTCCACACACAGAAGTCAGGTTCTGTGCAAAGTCTTTTCCCAGTTTGGTAAGCATTTCGTAAAATGCTATCCCAATCTGCCTACTGGAAAGACTTCACCATTTTAGCAATTTGTTAAATACCGTAACTAAGCGACAGCACTAGAGTTAAGGTGACCAGGGGATTACGTGAAAAACCTTCATAGGATTCTCTATTCCAGATTTATCAGAGTGCGTTCTCGTCATGCCAAATGACACTCCCCGTCCACACCACGGGCAGCTTCACTGACGAGGTGCAGATGGATTTGACACTTACGGTGGCAGGTTTGGCCCGCACGCTCACACCGTACCAACCACACTTCGCACAAGGCCACGCAGTACCTGTACGTGCGGTTCCGCTGGTTGACAGAGGCCGTTCTCACGGGGCTCTGCTGTGAGGGAGCCATGTTGCGTGTTGGGCTAGGCACGTAGTCGTTCGGTACCACCGGAGGACGTACCGGCTCCAGCGTACGATAGGGAGAGTGACGTCTGCACAAGGGCAAGCACGTTTCAGAATCAAAGGAAGAAAACATAGTCAAACCCAACCATTTCTCATTTTTTAAAAGACAGACAGCTACATACTAATCAGGAACAGGAGCCAAAGAAATGTTTTTCTGTACGCTTGCAGTGCCTGCTGCATAGGATGACAAAAACCAATTAAGGATGCTCTTCACGTACGTCAATCTCCACACGCTTTTCCTACTCATAAACTGTGCTGCACATCTCATTGCTTTAGAAGTAATCCGTATCTTGTTTTAAAAGCAAAGCGCCGCGGTCTGCAGGTGTTTACATAACCACACACCAACAAACAACATGCATTCCAGTTGTAACACCCCTTCCTAAGGTCAAAGTCAAGTTCACAGACTTAATAGGAAAGTACTTTTCTCACACACAGCAGAGATAATTAATGAACAGTGCCGCATACTAATTTTCTGGTTGTTCAGCACTACCTGTCAAAGCCACACCGTTAATGAGTTTTTACTCCAGAGCAGGTAGCTGTAAGTGTTCTGCAACGATAAAAAGGTTGCTGTTGGGAAAGGCTGGCGATACCCGCTGTCTCCTGGCAGAAACATGCTAGCTGAGGTATGTGATCAGTGTAAGAGGATGCAGATGTAACACCTCCTGAGCTTTGTGAATGGTTAAAACAAAACCCCCCACACAAGAGAAAACGCAGGAATCTTCCCCCTTTCCCTTCTGTTCAGGAAAGCAGCTTGCACATTCGGTAACTGCACTTACCCAATAGTTCCTTTTCCTGACATTGGTGGACTTGGTGGCTTCTGGGTGGGTGGTGTGGTACGAGGCAGCCCACCCATCTTCATATTCTGCGTGCTGACCTGCACGAGAGAACGGGGAGAGAAACAGCCTTCACTAAGCTCAGCCTCCAGGGGCAGAGACGCTGAGCTGCCTTCAGCAATTAACTCTGAGTAGGGGAAGGTTTGAACAAACAGAAAAATTGAGAGGCCATGCATTTTATATGCAATTCCCACTCCGCTAGAAGTCGAGAGTTGCGCTCAAAGGACTCTATTACACAGGGGGTTTAAATGTATATACAAAAAGTGAATTTGCCTTTAGGCTCCCACATAAACATTAAAACACTGCCGACACAGACACTGTATCTAACTTGGTTAAACCTCCCAGTCATCTTTTGAGACAAAGGCATTATTTCAGGTTGCACCACTGAATGGTAAATTTGCAAAAATATTTTTCAGTATTCTTTAAAAATACTAAGGTTTATCTAATAGGCCAGAATTTAATGTGATTCATACAAATACAGAGAAGTTGAAGTCATCTCCAAATGTGATCTATTAATGTTTTAATGTTTTCACAGTACAATACAAAAAATGTTAAGATAATAATAATTATAAATCTTACGTATATGTAAACAGAGAGAGAAAGCTTTGTGGAGAAAAATACAACATGTACTTTTTCCCCCATCAAGCCTGCACAGATTTAATCTCTAAGAACTGATAGATAAATGGTCAGGGAGAAAAAAAATTAGCAATGATGTGATAGGATTGTGGCTGTTCCCTCCCTCTCTTTCAGGTTAAAATATGAATGAAGTAACTTTTACACAAGGATTTACTCTGAGTTCTATAAAAGTCACCTGCATTCCTGAGTGGTTGGCCCGCCTGGGAGTCCTACCCAGTGGGTACCAACGTTCACCTGCAGACTGCCAGCCAGGCACGATTCTCTCAATGCCTGCCCCTTACAGGAATCGATGCACGGCCTCCTTACAGGCCTCTGCTGGACAGCCTGGGTTTATGAATGCTCAAACTGCTGCTTGGGCACAGAGCTACGCGACACCCGAAATAAGGATGCCTGCATCCCTTTTTCTGCTGTCCCTGTCATGCTCTGTTTCACAGTCTTCATTTCCAAAGCCTGAGTCGTGCCTACTGCCCCCACCTCCCCTATGAAAAGGCACAGCCGTCACCACGTTGGGAGTATTTGCAAACATCGTTACAGGCAAATTACTCCTTTAAAATTTTACTGTAACCACTTGCTTAAAACCTTGGCGGTGTTTACATTTGTGAATTTATAAACACTGAGAACAGTGTACAGAATATAATATTCAGTATTCTAACCCACAGAAACTGGATTCCCTGGCTCTGAACAATCCCAGTACTATCACATTTTCCATTTGCTGGGAGGAAAAGAAAACCAAGCGCTGGAAGATTTTTTTGTCAGATTCAAAAACAGTCGTTTGGGTTTAGTTGTGCAAGAGTGCTTTGTAATGCCAATTTAAGAAAAAATTATTTTGCACAGCATTATAAAGTCCTTTAAGCCAACTCTAAACAACAAGAAATCTAAAGTTAATTCAAGTGAGGGACGAGGTACGCACTGAACTACAGCTACTTGAAGGGAAGAGGGAAAGTGTAAAATGAAGTATATTTTATTCTATACACGGAAAATTGTAAGAAATAGCACAAAATCTGATTTTTTTTTTAAAGTTGCAGCACCCCTTGTATCTCCTCTTTCATTAAAGATGCCTGTTTTACCCACCTACCTATTTGAGTTGTCCAGAAAACCACAACAAACCCCCCCATCTTAATTGAACACTGGCTGCATTGTCGCCTGCTGTATTTCAAACCTCTAGCTATCACTGTACAGTTAACATAAAACTCCACATATTTAACCTGAAAGAATCTTGTTATTGGTATGTGATCACTGCAGGAAGATAATTGAAGTTTGAGGCTTCACTGGGCTACAGCGACCTGAAAAGAAAGGGCAGTCGAGGCGGAGGATGCGGTGATGTCCCACCGTAAGAAGTCGAAGCAACACTGGCCTAACGACAGGAACTCCAGCGCCTTCCAGGCACTTTGACCAGCACTGCGGGCAAACCTGTCCTCCACACGGGATGGGAAGGGAGCTTTAGAGAACGTGCCCAAAGGAAAAGTGAGCCTTGGTAAGCCAAGAACCTTCAGGCACAAAGAAGCCGTTCTGAAGGAGGACTGAACTGAAAGCTGGGGAAGAGCACGGACAGTGAGCTTAGTTTCAGGCTCCTAGAAATGACTTTTCAGCACTGAAATCGAAATGGTGAAAGAGCAAGTAATCAAAGTTTACAGGGCTTTCTTCAAATCTGAGGGGACTGGTGGCTTTAAGGTTATGTACTGTAAGTGAAACAACCCTATGAGTAACTTTCCCTTCCATTTACAGCCAGATAATCACAGAAGATAAATGAAGAGTATTATTCCAACAGCTGTGATCAAAGTGGCCAGATCTGTGGAAATAATCTCATGCCAGACACTAAAAAGGTTACAGACTGCCTTTGAGGAAAGAAAACAGAAGAAAATTTAAACCTGTAATATTTGCAGCTTCAGCTAAGAAACAAACCCTGTAACATTTCCAACTGTCCCCTTCTATGACGACTTCTATGAGGAGGAAAAAAAAGAGCAAGCGATTAATGCCCCCCTCTCGCAGACCTTCACTGCCTTTGCTGTTTTGCACACGTGGTTGCAAGGACAGTTTCCATACGCAAATCCTCATCCACACACATCCCTCCTGCAAACCTTCAAAATCCGAAGCAACCACTAGAACTCAAGGTCACGCCTGCAACTGCTGCCAAGTTTCACAAATGTTTCTTGTGGAGTACACTGGAATTTGCCAGAAGCTGCCCTGATTCTGGTGACAGCTCCCCCAGCTCTGCCGAGCTGGAACTACCTGGCTGCAACGGGTTTAACTGGAGGGTGAAGCAGAGGAACGCATCTGTCTGCCGGGGGGCTGGTTTGACTGCAGGACCCCACAGAGCTGCAGTTGGTTTGTAGGTAAAAGCTTGTAAATTCTGGTAGGAAACTGTGTGGTAGAACAGAGCCTGCACCCAGCAACACGGAGGAGTATCTGCCTTTGCTCCCAGCTGCCAGCACAGCTAACCACTGTGCTAAATAAAGAAAAACCTCAGGGGCAGTAATGATTTGGCCACAAAGCTCAGAGGAGAAAAACTCAACCCCCCCCAGCTGACTGTTCTGAAAGAAGGAAGAGAACCCTGTGAACAGAGAAGCAAGGCACAGGGTCTGCGCGCAATGCGTGCAAGGAGTTTTCCAATTCTTTTTCTGCCTCTTCCCCTGGAAGCAAAGCAGAAAATACCACAACTGAAATTACACAGGGGAACACCACATAATTCTAGGGAGACCTTGGATAAGGTGCTGCCCTTTTTTTTTTTTTTTTTAACTGGACGCCTTGCAGAAGCTTTTTACACATGAATAGCAAACACCTGCACCACAGAAGAAAACATCTACCAAAACTGTAACTCCGTCAGCACTTGAGCTGGAATTCGAAGTTTTGCTGAGGAAGAAACTGCATAAACAAAATAAGCAGATCCTTGGTAGGTGGATGCACTGAGATCCAGCTCCACAGTAACAGCCGTAAAACGAACGGTGAAGAAACGGGGCCCTATGGACCATTCTGTTTAAAAAAGGGTACACTAGCCTTTCATCCAGTATTTTCTATGCTGAACTGCAGTCTCAGTTTTAGAAAGGTAACCTCTGACGACACCAAGACAAGACACAGGACTGACTAGAGTCCTTATAAAACGATCCTTCTTTTAAGCTCAATTTTTTAAATAATTAAGACTTGTCACATTTCTATTTTTGGCAACTAATTTTTCATAGGTCTCAGTGATTGAATCACCTTATTAGGGCCATAAATATGACAAAGTTTCCTTCCCTGTTACATTTTTATAAAAATTTAACAGACTGAGCTTCTTTAGCCCTCCATCATGCAACAGATCTGCTGTGAAATGAACTGGTTAAAACTGAGACATCCTGCAGTTCAGTCACTTCAGTTACTGGGAATGTTTTCATGAGCAAAACACACCAAACAAGAAGTACAGAAGTGCACGGTTGGTCAGAACCAAGAGCTGGTAATCAGACGTGCAAAAACTACTTGCACCAGTGCACTGTGTATTTACTTGGCTGCAAGGCACTTACCTGCAACAAAGATGCCAACCCGTACTTTTACTCTGCTGAAGAACATCCCATTCTCACTCCAACTACTAAAGCAAAGTGGGTTTTGGGGTTTGGATTTTTTTCCCCAAAAAAATCCTGAACACCAGATATTCCACACAATCTAGAGGAGCTACTTTCTAAAGCCAAAGTTGGACTCCGCCCAGAAACTTTTAAGTGGTGCGTGATGGTCACATCGGACTTTTAAAACTTCAGGATGTCAAAAGAATCATCTCTGCCTTAAATCTAGTAAGAAAAAAAGTGTTCCATCAGTGATGTTCCATGGAACACGTTCAGAAACTTCAAGCAGCTACCCAGCCTTCCTGAGCAATTTTCTAGGTGACTCCAGCAACAACACCCTACGGCTGAGTGAAAACCACCCCTCCACGCCTTGGCTCATCTTGTTAATGCTAGAGAGGGTGAGCAGATTTTTGCCCATCATCTGCCACCTCAAAGTAAATTCCTTTTCAGGCTCTATCAGCCACTCGAATACTTACTCTGCATGTCTAATTACACCATGTATGTGTCAGTTGATTAACTACTTGATATGGAACTCAAATGTCTGAATTTCAACCCTATCTTGGCAAACGCCCACAAGAAGCAGCTCGGCAAGTGCGTTTAACTTGTTTTTACCACATCCACCTATGTAAAGTAATTGAAGAACCAAGTCAAAAGGCTTAAACCACGGCATTTTCAATTGATTTGCTGACAGGAGACGCTACAGATACTCCTCTGACTTGTAGCTGGAAGTGTCTTCGAAATCTGTTTCAAACGGAACCTTAAGCTACCCAGACACAAGCCCAGTTAACCCCGCTACAGTCAGTCACTTGAACATTGTAACAGTCGGCCAAGATTGGGGTTTCCGTGCAGCCATGGAAAATGAATGCAGGCTAAAC